TTATAGGAATATGATCTCTTCCGCAACTATTTTATAAATCTGTCATATAAACAAGACAAGAAAGAGGAAATTTACAACTCACAATGACAATTCAACATTAATGACTCCCCCAAAGTCCTGGGCACAAGTTCAGTTACAATATGTAGAACGGAGTAAATGATGGACCTATGAAAACAATTTGTAAGCAATATGAAACTACCTTTACTTTTATCTCTTAGAAACCCCCAAAGTGAATTCCTGGAAAGAGAAATGTGAGCAGGGTTTTTTATTGTTTTTCCTCTCCTCCCTTTTAGCTGCTGCTGTTGTTGTGATGACCCATAATTGCACACATGCTCAGTCGCGGTATTCAATAAGTTGTTCTGCTTGTATGCACTGCAGTGGTCCTTTCCAGGGACCATATGCTTATAGTTGTGGTCCTTCCACACATTCTGGTTGTGGTGCTTACCATTTTCACTCTGTAGTTGTGATAGTAGTGATGTTTGCACAGTGCTCACTGGTCATTGCACACCTGACACATTTCTGTGGCATTGCTTCAGTGCCAGGGTGCCCAAACAATTGAGCTGTTGGGACTCCATAATGCATGTGGGAAGCACTGGGAATTGAAATCATAGCCTCACACCTGCAAGGCAGGCACTTTTTCCACTGGCTCACCTCCATTCTCCAATATGAGTAGTTTGACTACTTGACTGAAGAAAAGTTTAAAGTGGAAGAAGAAATATAACAGACCTTTAAATAGTTAACTTTTATCCTGTTCTTTTCACGCATTAGATCAGAAGGCAGAGGTAAAACTGGAGTCAGTGCTGGGTATTGTGATAGTCATTCTCCATGATGACCCTTGGTGATTCTCAAGCAGTAAGAAGTAATTTTCCCTTCTGAGTCCCCTCTCACATCGAATAGAGTTTACCTGTATAACCAGCAGGATATTGCTGAAACAGAAGATTGTCATTTCTGAGACACTATTTTATTTTTAAAAGAGCATTGTTTCTACCTTTTGGTTTTAGATCATTCACTCTGGGGAGAAAATACCTATTGTATCACAGGGACATTTAATCAGCAACCTAAGCAATGCAAAGAAGTTAGTAGTTCACTACTACTGTGAAGTGAAGTGAAGTGAAGTGAAGTGAAGTGAAGTGAAGTGAGGTGAAGTGAAGTGAAGCCTCTTGCCAACAGGCATATAAGTGTTCTATCTTGGATGCATCTCTAGCCCTAGTAAAGTCTAAAGCCAATATCTTGACTATATACTTGTGGTACACTTTAAACCAGAACTACTTATCTAAGTCACTCCCAAGTTCCTAACCTATAAGAAATATGTGAAGTGCTGTTTGTTATTGTTTTTAGGCATAAATTTGGGGACAGATTTTGGTTAGGAAACAATAGATGACTATTCAACAATAAGCAACAATTGACAAAACCAGAATTTAGACCTAAGTTTGACTCTAAAGGCTGAAATCCCAATTTGCACTCCACATAAAGAGACATCAATCACTTTGTGTGGGCAGTGAAAATACTGTATTTAATAATGTTGGAGAAATTAGGGTTTTGGTGTGATCAGTTAGAAGTTTGTTACTACTTTATATTCCAGGTTTTCATTAGAATTATTTGTAAATAAGTCTGATTCATGATTCAGTAGGAGCTTTTCTATCACATCCTCATTGAGCCTTTTGTATTATAAAATGTGAATGTGCATCATTCAGTTTAAATGGTCCCTTCTGTCCCTTCACTAAAACCATTTTAATACACAATTTTAATTTTCTCAAGAGGAATAATTAGTGAATTTTTCTGACCAATCCTTTATGAGTGCTGCAAATGATTTTAAGAACCACTTGGAAGTTTTATGCAACAATTGTATCTAAATTTCATATGTCATAACGTTTTTCCTTCCTCAAATGTCATTTCAACTCTAGAGAGATCAACTTTTACTTTGAAAGAGCTAAACATTTCACATTAAAGTAACAAACATTTGTGTTTCATTGTCCAGGTAGCATGAGTCATTCTGTAACTAAAGAATATCTCAACTCTGTTCTCAAATTTCAATATTATTACAGTAAAAACAGAGCTTTCTTTGTCCGACAAAATGCTGTTACCTTAAGGTAGAGCACCCATAATTATTTCTTTGAGAAATGCTCTGTTTATCTTTCTTAAAGCATCTCTAATTATGAAAATTTGAATTTTGAAAATATAAATTAGGAGGTAATAGTTTGACGAAAATAATAACCGTAAGATATATTTAGATAATAAGAACTCAGGCATTTTGGAAATATTCATTTTATGCAGTATAAAAGATAAAATATTATCCATTGGTGAGTCTTGCTCCTTAGATTTGTTCTGAGAAAAGGCAAAGTTATATTTCACCTTATGTTTCTAAAACACCATCTACTACTTTAAACTTATTCCAAGGAATTCCATTGCCAGTATATATCTGATATGAATTCGTCTCATAACTTATTACTTTTAACTTTACCATTCTTCCAGCTCTGCTGGATGTCTTATATTTAAAATCTTTTAGCTCATTTTAAAGAAGGCTTCATAATTTACCTTAACTTTGAGATTTTTTTCTGTTTATGGAGATCATATACCATATCATGTTAGTGAGAGTGAGAAAGAATCAATTTTTATCAAATCATGATGAAACAAGTTAGGAAAGGTTAACTTTGTATTGTGGAAAAAGACACATACTATAAAATTTCCTATTAATGACATTTAGTAAATTCACAATCATGTACAGTCATTACCATTATCTAATTCCAGTAAAACTTTTTTTCTATCAACCCAAAAGGTAATCTATATTTGTTAAACCACAACTCTGTCTCCTTCTCTTCTCCCCATCCTCTGACAACTACCAGTGTGCTTTCATTATCTATAGATTTTCCTGTTCTGGATATTTCCTATAGGTACAATATTTTTAGATGATTTTTCATGTCTGACTTCTTTCACTTACAGTTTTCAAGGTTCATCCATGTGAGAATACTTTATTCCTTTTTGTGACTAAATATTTCATTGTATGAATAATACCACGTTTTGTTTACGCATCAGTTACTACACATTTGTGTTGTTTGCACCTTTTGGTTCTTGTGAATAATGGTGCTGTGAGCATAATGTTTTTATGTGAATATCTGTTTTTAATGCTCTTTGGTACATAGATATAGATGTACAATATACCTGTGTATGTGTACCCAGGAATGGAATTGCTGGGTTGTGTGGTATTGCATTGAGATAGTTTTAAATGAGACCTTACTGAATAGGTAAATAGATACATGTTTATGTAGAGGCCATATTCTTCTCTTTCGTTGTATTAAAAACTTTCCTGGAATCCTACATTTCTTCTTTCTTATTTTGTTTCTGGGCCAAACCCAGCAATGCTCAGAGGTTACTCCTGGCTTTGCACATAGGAATGACTCCTGGTGGTACTTGAGTGACCATATAGGATACCAGGGGCCTAACCCATGTTAGCCTTATGCAAGGCAAGTACCTTAGCTGCTGTACTGTCTCTCCAACTCCTGAAATCCTACATTTCTCTAAAAAATGCAGTACAGGAGTTTATGTCAGAAGACTCTAAGGTGTTATTACCAATTCATATACAATCTGAAATAAAATCATTTATATTGCAAATTACACACTAATCTAAAGTCCAGAGAAGGCCCTGTCTACTGCAGGTACATAGGCACCTTTAGACAATGAGGGTTATAGAAAAGTAATGAATGTGTTTCTGTATAATTTTGGAATCAGACATTAGTCAAATTACATATGTTTATGTTTGTGTTTTGGGACACTCATGAAATGATTCTTTTTAAAAAAATTTATTAGTGAAACACCATGAGGTGCAATTGTAGACTTACAAATTTCTGTGCTTGGGTTTCAGTTATACAATGATCGAGTACCCATCCCTCCACCAGTGCCCATTCTCCACCACGGCTGATATCAGTGTCGCTTCCACTCCCCATCCCCTCCATCCCACCCTGGCTCTGATTTTGTTCTCTCTCTCCTTTTGGGTGCTATGGTTTGCAAAAGAGGTATTGAGTGGCAATCATGTTTGGTCTATAGTCTACTTTCAGCATGCATCTCCCATCCTGGGAGTTTCCTCCCAAAACACTTTATTTGGTGCTCCCTTCTATATCTGAGCTGCCTTTTTCCCTAGCATGTGCGGCTGGCCTTCAAGCCAGGGAGTAAACCTCCTGGTACTTATCTCAGATATTCTTGGGTGTTAGTCTCCTCTTTTGTTACTTTATGTTCCCCAGATGAATGCAATCTTTCTATGTCTGTCCGTCTCTTTCTGATTCATTTCGCTTAGCATGATACTTTCCATGTAGTACCACTTGTATGTAAATTTCCTGACTTCATCTTTTCTAATAGCTACAGAGTACTCTATTGTGTAGATGTACCAAAGCTTCTTTAACCAGTTATCTGTTCTCAGGGACTCAGATTTTTTCCAGATTCTAGTTATTGTAAACAGTGCTGCAATGAACAAACAAGTGCAGATGTCACTTCAACTATACTTTTTGCCTCTCTGGGATATATCGCCAGGAGTGGTATTTTGGGTCAAATGGGAGCTCAATTTCTAATTTTTTGAGAATCATCTATACTGTTTTCCAAAAGGGCTGAGCCAGTCGGCATTCCCACCAGCAGTGAAGGAGGGTCCCTTTTTTGCCACATCCATGCCAGCACCATTTGCTTTTGTTCTTTTGGATGTGGGCCAGTCTCTGTGGTGTGAGATGATATCTCATTGTGGTTTTGATCTGCATCTCCCTGATGATTAATGATGTAGAGCATTTTCTCATGTGCCTTTTAGCTATTCAGATTTCTTCTTTGAAAATGTTTCTGTACATTTCGTCTCCTCAATGACTCTTTAGCTCAGTTCCTTAATCAGTACAATAAAAATGGTGAGTCTTGCTTCTTAGGATCATTCTGAGAAAAGGGCAGAGAAACATTTCCCACATGTTCTTTCAATTCCAAATGAACTTTTCTTTTAGACAGTAGCATTGTCTTCTCATTTTTACTTCCAGGTGAAAATTAAATTGCCAGAAACAAACACTTCAGATATTATCATTGATGTTCAGGAAAGGACCCTTGATCTTCGTACTCCTGATAAGTGAGTAAAAAAATCAGAACTCAATTGGTGTGTTATAATAATTATTAATCTTTTGGTCAATTGAAAGTATACAGATATTCTGCATCATCTGGATCAAATTTAGGGGAAAATGTGAAAATGTTCATTATTCAAGGTAAACTGATACCACCAAGAGGTAGTCCTTGACTTTTACTATGCTTTGGTTACTCCCAACTCAGTGCTTGAGGTTTGTTTAGGGTGGTTCTTGGCGGACCTTAAGGCATTGAGAATTGCCTTTTGCATGTGGAGCATGCACCCACTAATTGAATTATCTCTCTTATCCCAGAAATTATTTACAATTGCAATTTTTGTGGCAATGCCCCACCACCCACATTTATTTATGTGTGGCTATGACCAACAATTTAAGAAACTAGGCCTTAAACAAACATAAAGTGCCCTTATCATACCTGAGGCTATGAATGCTGCCCCTGGATCATTCTAGCATCTCCAAGGAGCAGTATTACACACTTTGAAATGCACTGATATAAAACAGCAACCAAAATGGCTTTGTGATCAATTTCTTAAACCAAGATTCTAATAGCTAATTTATCACTGGATGCTCAGGTTATGTGAATAAAATTTTAAAATAATGCTGATAATCATGGAGTCAGTTACAAATTTTGATTTGAGGAACTGTCATATAAGAAGTGCTTAAAGCCCCAGGGGCCACTCCCTTCTATCAGGGACCACCATGGCCACCTTAACAATATTTCAATGACTTTGGCTCCTATCATCATTAAGTTCAAGGTGTATTGAAAAAATTTTTTGCATGTTGTACACACATATACTCTTCCATACATAAAATCCTTGTGAGGAAAGTTGGTCAAATAAATAGTATGACCCTGCAGCCATTAAACCCTTGTATAGAGTTTGAGATGTTGCCTGGTGGTGCTCAGGTGACCACCAGACCTGCACACAGCAATTTCTTTTATTTCTACCTTTGGTATCCTGTAACATTTGTGTGCTCCAGGAATTCTAAGATTTTAAATAGGGTGATATAGATAGAATTAAAATTTTAACTGGATGGTGACATTGGTGTCTTGACACATCTCTGCAGCATGCTTGGAGGTTTATTTGTAAGTCTCTGGATCACGGCTTTTAGTGAGCTTACATGGCACTAGAGGAAGTTCGTGGGTGTGACTGCCAGGCTACAGGAAGTGCAGGGAGATGTGGGGAGGTCACCCATTCCTGATTTCGTGTGAGCCTGGAGATTTCAGTCACAAGTCTGCCAGACATGGGTTTTTCAGCAGATTCACTCATGGATGAGGCTTGTCTATGACTCTTTTGAGTTGATATTCACACCTACTTTCTTTTCTTTTTTCTTTTTTTTTTGCCATTTGGGTCACACCCAGTGATGTTCAGGGGTTACTCCTGGCTCTGAACTCAAGAATGACTTACTCCTGGCGGTTCTCGGGGGACCATATGGGATGCTGGGATTCGAACCCAGATCGGCCTTGTGCAAGGCAAATGCCCTACCTGCTGTACTAATGCTCCAGACACATACCTACTTTCTTTGGTTTCTTTTTTATTTAAATAGGACCCCTGGGCCAGAAAGTGGTTCATTAGAGTACTTAACTTGCATTTGTGAGGCACTGACTTTAGTTCCTGATGTTCCATAAATAAATAATGAATGAATTAGTGAGAAAATGAACTAATGAGTAGATACATTAAGAAATTAATGCATGATAATGAGTCAATAAAATGGTGCTTGAGTACCTGGGTTCACACGAGTGATTCTCACCTGGCACTGAGGTTCTGACATTCCTGACAGTTCAATGCCTGGCCTGGTTGTGCTCAGCTGACCACCGGAGCTACACCCAAAAATTTCTTTAATTTCGAACTTTAGTATCCTGTAACACTATGTTTATCAGTTCTAAGAAAAATAAAAAAGGATATTCTGTTTTTTGTCTATAATGCAGTACAAGTGAATTTATTTTTACTCAATTTACTTAGTAATGTCAGTTAAATGAAAATTAATTCCATTAAAACTATCAACAAGATAGAATTTTAGCTTTATAAAACCAAAAATAAAATAATTTACCAAATATATTTTTGTTTCTTTGGGGTGTGGATGATATATGGAGATATTTGAGGGCTATGATGGCTTTGTACTGAGGAAGCATGTAGAAACTAGGCTCAAACATGGGGCCTCTTGCATTCAAATATATGCTTCCAGCCTGTTAAGCTATGTCTCTGGCTCAAAGTACTTCATTTATGTCCCCATCTCAATCCCAACATGGAGTAGATAGGAAAGAAGCAATGATAGGAAAATTGTAGAATTTTCCAGAATTCATTGGCTTTTCATTTCATATAGGTTTCATTAAGGAATTCAAAGAATGTCCTAAATTAACTGCTGTATTGTCTAATATAAATATAAGTTAATTTTTGGTTGAGTGATGCTAAAACTTATTCACAATTGCGCTGTGCTCTAATTCAGATTTAGAGTTTTGACTAATGTTTAAAGCTACTGATACCTTTAAACAGTTTTCTAAAGGGAACTTATAACTGCAGGTCAGTAACAGTTCAGTAGCTATTTTCTGCACTTTCTTTGAAAATAGTTGTGCCTTCATTAGGAAACCTCAAAAAAGACCATGTCTGTTTTTAATTTAGATGTATATATTAAATACTTTTTAGCCATATAAAATAAAATTTCCATTATTTTAAACTACATATCAACAAGGTTGTATCTTAAATCTCTCACAGGCAACATCAAACATTAAACATATGTCTCCAAACTGGAGTTCAATGATTACATTTTTTTGTTTTTGCTTTCATACATTATTGTTTAAATAATTCCTAAATAATAACACTAGATGACATTTAATCAGTGCTGAGGAAATAAATTTTATATATTAAGAATATAAAGGTACAGATTCTTAGTTTAAATGACTATTCTTGTTTTACAATAATGATATAATATAGTTATTCAGATACCATTTTGCATTGGTGCATTTTTTATCTATTCATTCAATCACTCAGCCAACATTTATATAGTTTTCTGCTAGACACTGCAGGATCAGAAAGAATAGTGTCCTGTAACACAATGACTTGTACATGAATAAGTATTTGTAGAATTTTATTTTATTTAAATACAAACTTAGATATCAGACATTAAAATAGACTGATATATTTTCCTTCTCCTAAATAATTTGCACCTTTTCTATTGTTCAGGATTTTTGTATGTGAAACCATACTACCATATAGACTAGACAAAAATTCAGGGATAAATGGATCATTCCAATGGCCACTAACTGTCTCTTTTGAATTTATTTCTCTCTGGATAGAGAAGTGTGCATTATCATTGGGACTCCTTCTTCAGCTGATTTATAGTTTGTCTTTTAGTGCAATGGAGCTTTGCTTTCTTTTTAAAGTGAATATATTATCATTTGCAGAATAAGGGATAAAGCAAATCTAACTCTAATACAACATAGATTGTAAACAATTTTAACAAGATGAACTCAACATTTTGTGTCCGATTTTTTTGAGATGCCAAATATTGCCAGCTACTTTAGAGTACATTGCAAATTTGTTATTTCAGGTGGAGGAAGCTCATTTTCCCACCTCAAATACCTGAAATGGATCAAGGGAGATGGAAAATTCTCCCATAGTGTTCAGAGATATATGAAAAATTATTTTAATGAACCCAGATTCCTGAACTTAGTTATTTAAAAATAAGTAAAGAGGGTAATTGATTTTCAAGCATTTTCTAATGTTAGTTCTTTATACAAATATTTAGTAAAAAACCCCTAGTAGCCATAGAGATTACTTAAGTATTAGAGATCACACAGGGCCCCTATTTTGATTTCCCAGCATTTCATACTCTGTCCCCTGCCAGATGTAGTCTTAGCAGCCCCTGAGCACTACTGATTGTAGTGTTGGTGGTTCCTGAGCACCACTGGACTTTAGGACTAAGTTTTGCCAGGAGTGACCCTAGTGACCCTTCCAGGCACTGTCAGGCATGGTCCAAATACAGAAATAATAAATATTACTACAATATTCCCATTCCTTTATTGATTTGTATTTTACATCTTATAAAAGAGTCTTTCTGTCCATTTTTATAGAGATACTCAAACCTTCTTGAAGATAACAAGTGTTTCATGCATTTAATTTTATTCATATACTAACATGCGCTGACCCTATGCATAATTCAGATTTATACTACTATGACAGAATTATAGATGTCTCATCACAGAGTGCATCCAGCAACTGGGTTATCAACTGCAAAATAAATGCAGCGATCTCTCACAAGAAAGTTTTGGCAATGTATAGTAAAAAAGAACCAGAAATAAGCAGAGAGAAGTACTTCTACTGATTTGGTTCTGAAATCATTTCAGGTCTGAGTTTCAATAACTACACCTGTAGTAAAGACAGCCTCAAGTTGTGTTAGCAGACTTGTAATAGAAGCATTTCAATTTTCAGTCACATTCTATCTACACATAAGTATGACTGGCAATAGATTCATCCAACTAACTTAGAGTTGCAATGGTTCTATTTTTATGCCCAAAAACATAACCAGAGACTATCTTAAAATGCAAAAATTAGATAAATTTAAGGAGAAGTGGAAGGTGGTATACTATGTATTATTTAGGCATATTGTTTATCCAATGTTTATGCTGCATAAATTTAGTTTTTGTTCCTGTTTGATGGTGTATTTTAGTTTCCATTGCCTTACCAAACAGTTATGTCTTTTTAATATCAATTTATGAAGCTGATACTACATTCTTATATTGTTCTGGTTTTGTTCCTGATTTAGGAAGCTGTTGGTAACACTTCCTCATCCTGTGGAATGTAATACTGCTAAAGCAGTCTACGTCCTTGAAGATGGCATCCTCGAAGTGACCATGACCATGAAAAGAGAGTTAGACTTTGTGAATTTCTTCTAATAGTGCCTAGATAAGGAGAAAGGTCAGAAAAAGGCACTAATAAATTGGAAAAAAAGAAAAATGTGTTTAATGTTTTCTATTCTCTCTTTATTATTTTGACATATTTCAGAAAAAACCTAAATTTAATTCTAGAGATAGTCTAACCATTTACAGTAATTTCCATTACTTTAGTTTTCTCCAATAAGATATTCCATTTTTATAGTGTAGCTGGATAGAATTTATAGGCTAACCAATTAGATTACTACATGGTCAATTAAATAACTGAATATGACCATGAAATAGTTGGTCCATGTTTCAGTAATCTGAAGTACTTAATCCAATTAATTATATAGAAGGTTCCTGTTTTTGAGTTCTTTTGCAGTGGTGATAGACTGATATGTATTACAATAGAAAATACTTCCAGTTTTGAATTTTCATCCCTTTGGCTAGCAATATGCACTGTGATACTCTCCCATGGTTCTGGGTAGTAATGAACCACACCTCCCAGTCAGTCACAGGAACAGTAGGATAAATAACTGATACTCTACAGTATATTGTGTTGCCAGGGAATTTTTGAATATCATGTTTTGTGTTTTCACATCCTATCATGTTTACAAAACTCCCATCTGTGTCTCCTTCTGGTAGTAAGAGGGATACAATTGCTCTTGAGATGAAACTAAAGATAAATTGTCCAACTGAAGGCTGATATAAGTGTTCAAAATACATTTGACATAGGCCAGGCTAGGAACGAAGGGTGTAGCTCTGCAGTAGAGCAGTTGCCATGCATGCATGAGGCTCTGGGTTCAATCTTATCACCGCATACACACACACAACACTAGACCAGTCTAGGCTATTCTGTAGATTGGATGTATAAGATGCATTTTTGACTTAAGATATTCTGAATTTCCTAAGATTTATTGGGAAGTAATTCCTGCTAAGGTGAGTAGTATAATGTACTGTAATACACACAGATCCATAGCAATTGGCCACTATTAGCACACAAAACAGTTTATTGGTTGCCTTTTCATGTTTGATTAAATTACTTATTCTCTTTTTATGCTCTTTGTTATTCAATTTTCATTTCATTTCCTCATCCTGTTATTCGTCGATTGCCTCGAGCAGGCCCCAGTAACGTCTCTTTCATCCTAGCCCTGAGATTATATTCAAGGCTATTTAGGAGAAAGAGACCCTTCATTGTTACTGGTATCTGGCATATTTGGTACGCCACGGGGAGTTTGCCAGACTCTGCCCTGTGGGCAGGCTACATTCGATAGCCTGCAAGTTTTTCCAAAGTAGTAATGAGACAATAAGATGTCATAAAAAAAAGTTCTGATAAGATGTCGCGCGGCCGCGAATGCGGCCGCACGGTTCCGGAATCTGGATTTTATAGTCTCTGAGTCTTGGCCGCTGATGGGATTACACGGCGCCAGGGGGCCAGGTGGTGGGTGTGACCCCCGCCTACTGGAATTTGGAGGATCTGGGTGGAAGATGCTCGACTCCAATTCGAGTAGGCTTGGAGGTCTCGGCCCCGGAACCCGCGTGGCTTTTGTCCCTCTGCCAGTACCTTCATGTGTGCGGAGAGTGGTCTCAGCATGGTGGTGGCTGGTCCTGGAGGTCTTCGGCTGCCGGAGCCCTGGTCGGGGCGGGGAGGAAAGCTCAACCCGCTCCCCTCCAAGGCTGCGGGGAGGAACACCCAACGCGGGGGCAGAAGACTGCACTATTCTCGTTTATTTGAATAACAATCTTTTATTGTTATTCAAATAAAAGATTAATGCTAGTTAGATGAAGAAAATTAAAACCACATATTTTACCTGAATAAGTATAACTCGAGGGCCTGAGATATAGCACATACAGCCCATCCCAGTTCAATCCCAGGCACCACATCTGGTTCCCCAAGTACCACCAGTAGTGATCTTTGAGCACAAAGCCAGGAATAAGTCCTAAGCATCACTGGGTGTGGCACATACATGCATAATAAAATTATGAACACGCTATTATTTAGTTTCCTTAATTCTTTTCTTAACACTTGGATATAGTTTGGTTAAAAATATTTCTTACATTTGAACACTAATATTAACAATGTTTTGGGGGTAGTGTTTATCTAGTTATTGAAATCCTTGACATTTAAAATTAATATAAAGAAAAGTCCTCTCATTTACGAGTTCTTTTATCTGACATTTTCTATCTTTACTCTCACACATACATTTTTTAATGAATATTCCAACACCTCTTATTTCTTGTTTTTATTGCATATGTTTACTTCAGAATTATTTATGAATGGTTGTAGAACCATGGAAAATTCACTGAGAGAAAATTTTGAAAGTGTATGAACAATTGAAAGATTGTTTTTACTTTTCTATGAATTATTAAGGGACTAACTACACAAGCAGTTATATGCTAGACTTGATTATGTATATAACTACTAAGAATCTAGTTTGTGACAAGATTAAATAGAAGGAAAAGACAGATTTTTGAAAAAGTGATTGTTTCTGTACAAAAACACTAGACTCTTATAAAGAATTTGACACATAAATTACTCCCATGGCTTTTTCTTTGAGGGCAAGAGACTAAGGGTGGGATTAACAAAAGAAAAGTAATGTCTATGAAATTGAGTTCATGATGTTCCAGGATCAAAAGAGTTTCCTCATCTTGCTTGCTTAACATCTTTTTAAAAGACTGTATTTTAAGAATTTAAGATTACACCCTAAAGTGTAAACTCTGGAGCAAACTAAACAGTAACCAATATTTTTCTTCTGTAGAAAACAACAATGAGTCAGTAGGAAATGTATCACTTTTTCCTCTATACAGTGACCCTAATTACTAGTACCATTATTACTCAAGCTGACTGAATGTGTACAAGTTGTCCCTGGAAAAGAAGATAGAGCATCTCCAGGCCAATCTGAATTGTACTTGGGTTATGTGGTACCATATCAATTATGTAATGAAACAGCGCCTCAAGACCATGAAATGTGATCCAATCACTAAGACCCATCTACAAATCATCCTACTTCTCTGCCTTTGGCCTCAGAAGTAACAGCTGCTGCTTTTTCCTTTTTATATTTTTTCATTGAATCATCATGAATTACAAAGTTACAAAGACACTTAGAGTTTCAGGTGTATATTGTTCCAACTCCAATCCCTTCACCAGTGCTGTTTTGTTTTTAAGCTAATCTATCATAGCTCTTTTAAAGAGAAAACTTTACTAAAACAAAATGTTGAAAAATAAGAAAAGGAAATTGATTGTGTTACAACAGTCAATAATTTTTGTGACTTTTGAGCCACATTGTCGGTGCTGGAGGTAGGTCTATGCCAGCTCAGAGGACCACATGGTTTTTAGAATTGAACCTGAGGTTCATGCATGTAAAGTTTTTTAAAAATTTTTATTAGTTAAACACCATGAGGTACAATTGTAGACTTACAGATTTTTGTGCTTGGGTTTCAGTTATACAATGATCAAATACCCATCCTTCCACCAGTGCCTATTCTCCACCACCACGGATCCCAGTATCCCTCCCACCCCCCATCCCCCAAATCCCACCTGCCTCTGTGGCAGGGCATTCCCTTTTGTTCTCTCTCTCCTTTTGGGTGTTGTGGTTTGTCAAAGAGGCATTGAGTGGCAATCATGTTTGGTCTATAGTCTACTTTCAGCATGCTTCTCCCATCCTGGGAGGATCCTCCCAACACCCTTTATTTGGTGCTCCCTTCTCTATCTGAGCTGCCATTTCCCCTAGCACATGTGGCTGACCTCCAGGCCTTGGAGTAAACTTCCTGGTACTAACCTCGGCTATTCTTGGGTGTTAGTCTCCTATTTTGTTACTTTATGTTTCCCAGATGAATGCAATCTTTCTATGTCTATCTCTCTCTTTCTGACTCATTTCGCTTAGCATGATACTTTCCATGTAGTACCACTTGTATGTAAATTTCATGACTTCATCTTTTCTAACAGCTACATAATACTCCATTGTGTAGATGTACCAAAGTTTCTTTAATTCGTCGTCTGTTCTCGGGCACTCAGGATTTTTTCAGATTCTGGCTATTGTAAAGAGTGCTGCAATGAACAAACAAGTGCAGATGTCGCTTCAACTATACTTTTTTGTCTCTCTGGGATATATTCCCAGGAGTGGTATTTTGGGTCAAATGGGAGCTCAGTTTCTAATTTTTTGAGAACTGTCCATACCGTTTTCCAAAAGGGTGAACCAGTTGGCATTCCCACCAGCAGTGAAGGAGGGTCCCCTTTTTTGCCACATCCATGCCAGCACTATTTGTTTTTGTTCTTTTGGATGTGGGCCAGTCTCTGTGGTGTGAGATGATATTTCATTGTGTTTTTGATCTGCATCTATCTGATGATTAATGAGGTAGAGCATTTTCTCATGTGCCTTTTAGCCATTCGGATTTCTTCTTTGAGAAAGTTTCTGTTCATTTTGTTGCCCCATTTGTTTATGGGGTTGGATGTTTTCTTCTTGTGGAGTTCAACCAGTACTTTATATATCCTTGATCTCAATCCCTTGTTGGATGTGTATTAGGCGAATATTCTTTCCCATTATGTAGACTGTCTTTGTATTTTGGTCATTGTTTCTTTTGAGGTGCAGAAGCTTCTTAGTTTAAGATAGTCCCATTTGTCTATCTCTGTTTTCACTTGTTTGGACAGTGGCGTGACATTTTTGAAGATACCATTAGCTTCAATGTCATGGAGTGTTTTGCCAACTTTGTCTTCAATGTACCTTATGGATTCTGGTCTGATGTTGAGATATTTAATCCATTTTGATCTTGCTTTTGTACATGGTGTTAGGCAGAGATCTGAGCCCATTTTTTGCATGTAGTCGTCCCATTTTGCCAGCACAATATGTTAAAGAGGTTTTCCTTACTCCAATTCACATTTCTTGCTCCTTTATCAAAGATCCTAATATCAGATCACATTGATTTCAGAGTGAAAAAGGTCACAAGAGACAGTGAAGGCCATTTCTTATTGATCAAGGGATCTGTAAAACAGGAGGAACTTACAATACTAAATGTATATGCACCTAATGAGGGACTAGCAAAGTACTTAAAACAACTACTCATGGACTTGGAGAAAGACATTGATAGCAAAACAATACTAGTGGGAGATATCAACACCGCTTTATCACCTCTTG